GGTACAGCTCCACCGGCTTCGGCACCCCGCGCAGCGCCACCGCGCCCAGCGCAGTCACCTCCAACTGCTCCCGCTCGTTTGTGCTCAGCGACATGTACGCCGCACGCGTCAGCAGCACCTGCCCGCCGTTGCCCACGCCCTCCGTGCGCGCCGCCACGTTCGCCGTTTTGCCGTAGTAGTCGTACCCCTTCGTCACCTCGTCGCGCCGGATGTCGCACAGCCCGGTGTGCACCCCGACACGCACCCGCAGGCCGTTCCAGTACTGCCGGTACACCGCGGCGTCCAGGCGCGCCGTCGGCGGCACGTACTCCTCCGCGACCTCCTCCGCCCGGCCCTCCTCGAACTTGCGGTACGCCTCGTCGAGCGCGCCCGTCCCCCAGTCGTGCCGCAGGAACACCTGCTGCAGCTCCCGCACCAGCTGCACCGCCGCGGACACGCTCTTGCACGCAATCATGAACGAGTCGCCGACCGTCTTCACCTCGTAGCAGCGGTACTTCGCGATCAGCGCACGGATCAGGCGGTGGTGCGTCGCCACAGCGTCGGGCATCAACTGCGAGCACGCAGCCCACAGCGCCGTGCTGCTCTCGATGTCGGTGAACACGAGCGTCACGGGGTCCGTCGGCTCCTTCGGCGCATTCGCGTTGTCGCGCGAGCCGCGGCAGAAGTGTAGCAGCAGAGCCGCCACGGCCACAAGCAGCAGGCCGCCAGCCACGCTGCCGGCGACGACGCCGATCAGCCGCGGTCGCGTCAGTCCGCGCGTAGCGGGCTCCGCATAGCGCATCGTCGGTGTCACGGCGGGAAACAGCACGGGTACGGCGGGTTCCAGCGCACGGGCAAGCGACCACACAGAAATGAGCGTCGCCCCGTAGTTCTTGCCGCACCCAGCACCGCCGGCCGCAGCCGCACCACACGCCGTGCCGTTAACGAAGGAGCCGTACAGCATGTCCTTCACGGTGACGGCGACGTTCTTGTAGAAGAAGTCAGCCAACCGCTCCGCGCTCACCCTGTCCATGCGGGAGAGAACCGTCCGCAGCAGCTGCGTGGTAGCGAAGCCCGTCAGCGCCAGCGGCGTCCGTTGCGTGGCGTTGGGCACAGCGGCAAGGAACTCCTGGGCGGTCTCCGACGTCGAGTTCGCGTCGTCCCAGTGCGGCAGGCTCGTCGCAAACACAACGCGGTCGGCGCCACCTGCACCGCCACCAAACGCGGCGGCGAAGTCGGCGTGCAGCAGCGCAAACTCTGAGAACGCGACGAACACGCGCACGCCGTCGTGCGACGCCACGTGCCGCGCCACCGCAGCGACGTCGCCGGCCGCAAGGCCCGCCACGAACACGTCGCCCGCCTCCGGCAGGTGCCCCGCCAGCGCGTCGCCGCCGGCCAGCAACGTCGCGGACCGCAGCGACCCGCCAAACGTCACCAGCGACCGCCGCAGCACCTCCGCCATCGCCGCCGCCCCCTCGCCGCGGATCACCGCGCGCGCCGCGCGGACACCCGTGCTCAGGAGATACCCCGCAAGCACGAAGAACTGCTGCTCCAGCGTCGGCGACAGGTGGATCACGTGCCGGCGGAATCTGTTCGGCCGCGGCTCGAGCTGCAGCGGGTCGATGAAGACCACACCCTCCACGTCCAGCATCGCCTCCGTCACAACACCCACAACCCCATGAAGATGCCGTGAACTCACCTCCGACTGCAGGGCGCCATGTGCACTGTCAAGAGCGGAGTTAACCTGGAGCACGCTTATTTCACTATCCTCCCACGAGGCCTTCTGGCCTGCAATTGCCGCAAGAAATCCGGTGTGGAGCTCCGCAAACGCACTTTTTGCCGCTGCGCTATCATTCATTATAAAATCCACCCCAATAAACAGCGACGGTATGGGCGTCTTTGAATTATGGCAACGGGCCAAACTCAACGTCATGAGGCCACTCGCAAGTGTCTCTGCGCGGTAGCCCTCCACAAACCGCTTCATGTACACAGTGTGACCGCCCTGGTTGCAGTGGCAGACAGCCCCGCGTGACGCAGCCGCGCCCTCGCACTCACCGCCGTAGTCGCCAATCACAAGGTCGTTGATTAAATACCGGCGTTGGTTGAAGATGGACGCCATGAACGACGTGCGGTTCTTCACCTCTCTATAATTACTTAGCGCCTGTGCGAACACCTCGCCGGCAATCCACCCAGAAACCATCAGTTCGCCGTCACCGTCATTATTGAGGAAATGCTCTGTATCGTTGTAGTCTTTCTGCCCGCTATTCCTCAGGTAATCCCGCATCTCCACCTGAAAGCGCCCGATGGCATTGTAACTTGCGTCCTTCGCCAGCGGGTTCGTCCCCGTCGTGATCACCTGCCCGGGCACGAACTTGACACCACCAGCCACGGCAGCACGCCACGCGTCCAAAACAGCGTCCTGCAACGCAAAGGAGCCCAGCAGGTACGCGCCATTGGTGCGCCCGTCCCTCAGCATCCTCGTAACGAATTCCGCAGTGTCTGCCAGCGGCGAGCCAAACATAATCACAGCCTGCGGACGAGACGCAGCAAATCGCTTCCACGTTTCATTGAACACTTTGGGGTCGGACCCGCCTCGCCTCGAGCTCTTCACGGTAAAGACACCGCAGAACTCGTAGCCCATCCCCGACATCACACGTTTTGCCTGCTCATAGTCCCTTTCATCAAAGATGCCATCCTGCAGGTACATGAAGCCAAGCCGAAGCACCCGCAGCTGAGTCACGGCGAAGCGGAGAAGCGCCAGCATCTCGCCTACGGGTCCAGTACGCACAAAGTACACATGGGGGTTCCACTCACGCACCAAACTCGATCCAAGGAACGGGGCAAAAGCGACGAGGTCATAGGAAGGCAAAACTGGAAGCACATTCTTCACGGGAGTGTCACCGAAGATTGCCAGAAGAGTGAGAATGTCCTTTTCTTCCTCCATCACTTTCTTCAGGAGGTCAGCAAAGACGGCCACGTCCGCCTCCTTTTCGACAATCCGAACCCAAACATCGTCCCCAGCCGTGGAGTTGTGCGCCCTCAGCGACGCATACACGCCGGCGCAAAAAGCGGTGGACATATAGCTGAGTGGGCCAAGATCATTTCGCTTCAGCAGCAGCACCTTCACGGGGGTGGCAGGGGCTGCCGCTTGGACGGCTGCGCTGTGCGGGGGCAACGGAGGCAGCAGCAGCAGAAGGACGACGAGGAGAAGGAGGCACGGCGACGCCGCAAAGGGCCGCGAGCCCAACTGCGCACAACACCCACGCCACCTCCAACACACCGCCATAACCACCGCCTTGCGCTTGTCTTGCTGTCTATCCTGTAGCTTCCTACGGCAGTGAGGAAGAGAGAAGAGGAGGGCACGGTGCACAGGAAGCAGAGGAGGAGAGGATAAAGCGCCAGTGGGGCGCGTACGGGCATCACGGCAGCGCAATACAAACAAGGCTTCCCGCAGGCCACGGCGGGGGCCACGCATGGATGGCACCAGGGGCACGGATGCACCCGGCAGCCGCGCGTGGTTGGCGCGGAGTGGAGCGCAAAGGAAAGGAGCCAAAGAAAGCATGCAGATCAACAAAAAGGAGAAGAGGCAGGGCTGAACGCAGCGGGCCGCTCTCACACCCACCCGGCATCCCGTGCGTCAGTCACCAGCGCCGCACGAGGCACGCGCAAGGTCAGTGGACCACACATGCTACATTGCGAAAAACGCCACGGGGGCACGGAGCACAACTGCCGTGACGTCGCTCGTGGACGCCCATTGTACCGTTTTTGTTGCTCAGTGTGTGTCTGCCGCGCGATGTCCTCCCACATCAACATGCACCGACGCCATTTGTCTCTTCCCCCATCGTAACTATTCTGCCCCT